TCTCCCTGAACAATCACATCCACACTCTTGGCTTCAATTACCATCTATATGCAATGGTTACCAAATGTACATTTCGAGTCAATACCTTTCCTCTGAATTCCAGATCTATAATATTAAACTATCATCTTTAATATCTAATGTGATGTTTCAAATACACATTAAAGACAAATGTCCACAGAATCGATGAGGCTCCTGTTTCTCCTCCAATCCCTACTAAGCACACACACACACATAAATACTGCTACTCTTCCATTTTGTTCCATCTCAGTCAATGATACTACCATGAATCCATGTAGAAGCCTGAAATTCTCAGTATCTTCTTCTCTATCTAATTCAGTGGTTCTCAACCAGGAGCAATTCTACCCCAAGGTGAGACGGCAATGTCTGTAGACTTTTTTGTTTCTCATAATGGGATTAGTGGTATCTAGTGAGCTGAAAGCCAGGAGTGTTAGACATTCTAAAATGAACAAGACACTCCTTGTGAAAGTAGGCCTGGATGACCTAATATAATCCATCACCACATCCTATAAATTCGAATTCCCAAATAAAGCTTAAATCCATCAATTTCTCTTCCTAATGTGAAGTGCTCTACAAGCACTTCATAATTCAAGGTATAATTCCCTTTCACCTAGAACAGAACACTACAATATCTTCCCTACATCTACCTTTACTCAAATTCATACAGTGAAGTCTCAGAATCATAACCTTCATGAGAAAGAAAAAGAATCCCTGAGTTTGGCTGTTGCACAGGTAAGAGTCCTTATGGATCTAACACAACTAAAAATAAGCCCCACCTGTTTGTTTGCGTTCCTACTATATTGAGGGTTCCCACTCAATAAAACATCTCCCCAGCCTCAAACAGCTCTCTGCTGGTATATTTCCTTCTGTGTCTACTTGTAGCAGCCTCACTGACTCAGAGCTCCACTTTTAACTGCCTTGTCTCAGTGCCCTCCACAAGCCAATATCTCAACTCTATTTTGTATATTTTTAATATCCCCTGCAGCAGCATCCAGTCATACTAAGCCACCTATCTGGTATGACCAAGTTATTTCCCAAGGTATCAATTATTACTCTTGATAGCATTCTGGTTACAAAAATGTTTAGATTGCAAATAATATGCTCCAGTCCTATTTTTCCATAGACCTATATTCTTAGTGTGTAATCTGCAGAAGATGAAGTTTCCCAAAAATTACAGATATTCCCATACTTCCAAAAATTCTTGTGGAGCACCTGGGTGGATCAGTCCGTTAAGTGTCCAAATTCAGCTCAGGTCATGATCTCGCAGATCATGGGTTTAAGTCCCACATTGAGCTCTGTGCTGACAGCTCGGATCTTGGAGCCTACTTCAGATTCTGTGTCCCCCCCTCTACTCCTCCCCCACTTGTGCTCTGTCGCCCTCTCTCAAAAATAAACATTTAAAAAAAATCAAAGAAAACAAATGACTGGTTCCTCAACTAATTTATACGCCTCACATCTAGGTTTCTTATCTCTGTTAGTAGTCCAGAATCAAAGCAGTGGAAACATCAAAGCCTCCCTCTCTCTCCCCTATATTCAGTGATTCCACACATTCTACCAATTTTCCTTATGCGTGGTCTTTCACATCTTTCCCACTACCATATGCCATAATTGAAAGCTTCCATGCCTCTCATCGAATGAATTTAATAGCTTCAAAGGTAATCACCCATCTTCCAGGCCCTCCTTATTCCAAGCTCAACTCCACTATACCACAAGAACCATCTTCCCCAAAATGTCAATCTGTGCTATTTCTCTACTCAAAAACCTTCAATGGCATTCCACTGGGCACTCAAGACCCCAAACCACTACTCCATTTTTTTCACACTGGACTTCCCATTCACTTCATACTGTAGCAGAGATAAACAGAGGTAAATGATAGAAACCATTGAGCACATTGCTGGCAAAGAAAGCCACTAAATATTAGCTATTACTTTCACAGATCACCTGGTGTTATAGTCAATTCTAAGAATGTCATCTCCCTACCTCTGAATTTAAACATCTTAAATTCCTCCTCTTTGTATTATTAGAGACAAAGGTCAAATCTTGGTTGTGTCAGTTACTAGCTGTGACCTTGAACAAGTTATTTAGCTTTCTGAGCCTCAGTAAAATTAGGATAATATCCATGTCATGGGGTTGTTGAAAAGACTAAATGATATAACATATGAATGCCTAGAAAAGGCATCAATAAGTGTTAGTTTTCTTTAAAAGTGTTCTCTTAAAGGATGAACACAAAACTAATTGCTTGCCTTCTTTCTCCCACAACTAGGCAGGTAGAGAGTAGCACTCAAAAAAATTTGCTTAACAAAATATATCTTTACCTTTCTGAAACAAATGCTTACTCCAAAAAACATGAGATATAAGAGATCTTTTTCTATGCTACTACGCACAGAAAAAGTTACTGATATGGAACCATACTTCACTAAATGATATATACTGACTAATGTAAATTATGTTATTAAATTTACTGACACTCAACATATACCTCGTCCACATGCAGAACTAGCAGTTACTTAGTTAGTTCCAATAGTTACCTATTATGACTATATAAATACATACAAAAAGATAGAAAGCTTCAATATTTATAAATTCCATAGAAAATGAGTCTGTATACATAATTAAAAACTCATAGTAAAAGATTCTTATATATTCACTAAAAGAATTTGTCAGATTTGATTTATACCATAGGCTTTTACATTATAGCATTGTAAGAGTTTCTTTAAAATGAGAAAGCAAAGAAAAGACAAAGAATGGAGGGAGGAGAGAAACAGTACCAAAACTTCTCAAGTTAGTCTTTTCACATTTTACTTTGCCTCATCCTCCCTCCCACTCATTTTACCTAATTGCTTTTCTACTTCATATTAACAGAAGAATGATAGAATCTACTTAATAAATAGTGCTGGGACAACTGGACTAACAGCAAAAGAATGAAGTTGGACCCCTACTTCATATCATATTAAAACTCAAAATGGACCAAAGACCTAAATCTAAGAGCTAAAACTATAAAACTCTTAGAATAGCACATAGACATTAATCTTTGAGACCTTGGATCAGGCAATGGTTTCTTATATACGACACCAAAAGCTCAAGCAATCAAAGACAAAGATAAATTGGACTTGGTTAAAATGAAAAGCTTTTGTGCTTCAAAGGACACCATCAAGAAAGGAAAAATACAAATCAAGAATGGGAGAATATACTTGCAAATCATATATAATGGTCTAATATTCAAAATATACAAAGAACTCTTACAGCTCAACAATAAAAAATACTCCAATTAAAAAATGGGCAAAAGATCTGAATACACAAATGAAAAGATGACCAACATCATTATTTATTAGAGAAATGCAAATCAAAATCACAATGAGATACCATTTCTTACCAACTAGGATGGCTATAATCAAAAAGTCAGACAATAACAAGTCAGACAATAACAATAATCTACAAGGATGTAGATAAATTGGAACACTCATACATTGGTGGTGAGAATGTAAAATGGTGCAGCCACTTTAGAAAACACTGGCAGCTCTCAAAAAGGTATACATAGAATTAGCACCTAACCCACCAATTTCACTACTAGGCATACACCCAAAAGAAATAGAAACATGTCCATACAAACCTGTACACAGATTTTCATAGCAGCATTATTCAGAATAGCCAAAGAGAAGAAACAGCCCCAAAGCTGAGCAAATGATGAATGCATAAACAAAATACAATGGTGTATCTATACAGCAGAATATTATTCAGTTATAAAAAGAGACAAAGAACTGACACTTCTATGACATGGATGAACCTTGAAAAGACACTAAGTTAAAAAAGCAAAACCACATAATGTATGACTCCACTTATATGAATGTCTATAATAAGCAAATCCATAGAGAGAAAAAAATCAACTGGTGGCAACCAAGGGGGGCAGGTGGTAAGGGAGAGGAAGGTCAGGGACGGGGAAGGGACTGGTACCGGGTACATGTTTCTTCTGGGGACGATGAAAGCATACTAGAATTAGAGAGTGGTGATCACTGTACAACTGTGTGAATATACTAAAAACTGAACTGTATACTTAAAAAGAGTGAATTTTATGATACAATGAAAGAATGATGACGGAATAAAAAGCAGCACAACTAAAGAATGAACCAAGTGCTCCTTTTTTGATCCAACATTTTCTATACATTTACAACATTCTAGACCTATGCTGGTTGCCAGGAACCCACAGATGAGTAAAACAAAGTCACTATACTCCCTTCAGGATCATTCTCCTTAGCCTACAGATGTCAGTATTTCTTAAAAGTGGAGCAGCTTTGAAAATGTAAAAACAGCAAAATGTAATCCACAGACAAGCCAAGAGAACACAGATATTTACATTGTAAACTCTTCTAAATTACCTAAAATTATTTGGGGGCAGGGGGTAAATATGCTTCTAATATTAGTGTTAAATAACTCATTGTTCCCCAATGCTGATAATGTCATTTTCCAAGAATTATTAAACAGCTTTATTTCATTTATTGGAAATGCTTTTTACAAATGTTTCTGATAGATCTTTCTGCATCATATCACTCTGATTGTATCAATTTCTCCATGACTCCTGGATTCGCTATTTTTGACATTCAAAAACTTCATGACGAACACAAACCTCCCAAAAGGAAATGCTTTTTGACATTTATAGTAACCATATGAAAATGTGTTTCTCTAAAATAAAAATAAGTAACAGTAGAGTTCTCTAAACTAAGAAATCAAATGTTTTGAGTTCTAATCCAGATTTTTACAAATCAGAGAAAATCTGATTTCCTGATATGAAAGCTACACTTCCATAAAAGAAAAGCTAACAAAAATCAAAAAATCAAATTTAGACAGAAAACTAGGTTGAATAGTTTAAACAGTGCAAAAAAAGACATATTCTATTTAATCCAAAACATTAGATATTTCTGATGTTTTTAATACATTATTTATATCAACTTTCCAAAAGGTAAAACTAAAATCTATATTATTATTACCTTATCTTTGGCCTCAGGCAGTGTGATTTCTCTAGGTTCTAACAATGGTATTTCTCGAAAAGGTGGAACACATCTGACTATATCTGGTACATAGTGTGTATGAAACAATGGCGGCATTGAGTATCTTCTTTCACCTGATAAAGGCACTATGTGGTTAACTAGAGTTGGCTCTTGGTGGGGTGAATGGAAACGCTGCCGTTTACCGTCAAGAGGAAGGTTTTTTTCATCGCTTAATCTCCTGAAAACAAGCAATATACCTTAGTAATTAAAGATATAACTTTCTAATGACAGAAAACAATTAAAACTATAAAAATAACAAGTGCCAATATTGACTCTTTCAGCAGGGCCACATTATTAGTTCTATGTGAATCTTAAAATATTCATTTTGAGCACAAGAGAAGCCTTAGAAAAACACCTTAGGAAAAATGCATACTGATAATGTGTGTGTACGTATGTGGGTGTGTGTATATATGTACACACATATGTATGTATATATATATACATATATATAATTTATAGAATATATATGTATATATTTTTAAACCTATACACTATATATATCAGGGTTAGTCTCTTGCAGAACTATCCCAATATTTTATCTCAGCAGTTAAAACTTTGGAGGAAAACTTCCATTCATAGAAACACTGACAATAAAACCCAAATTCTAAAGAATGAGAATAAAATTAAGTGAACTGAGTGTTACATAGTTAAAAAGTCCACCTATATTCCGGTTCATCAGTTGGAAAGATCATATTAAAAAGCTATAAAGACACTGAACAACTAAATAAATACGAAAACTAACTGCATTTCACATAACAGTATTGTATTAATGTTAAATTTCTTGGGCATGACTAATGTATTTTGGTTATATAGGAAAAGATCCCTGTTCTTAGCAGGAATGCACTGATGTACAGTGAAATGATGTCTACAATTTTTCATCATGGTTCAGGAAAAAAAAAAAGTAGGAATAAAGAGAAAGAGGCAAAAAAATCAAATGAAGCAAAACTTTAATGGACCTAGGTAAACAGCATACAGATGTTCACTGTACTATTCTTTAAATTTTTCTGGAGGCATAAAATTTTTCAAAATAAAAGCCAGAATGAAAATAATTATTTGTCTAAAAAAAGATATTTACTTCATTGATATATTAAGTTTGTTCATACAGACAATACTTTCGGCCATGGGAAATGGTCCAACTACTGGGTCACAGCCATCCGAAGGTTTTTTATTTTAATACCCCAGTAGGATTACACCAACTCCTCTCTCCTTGACCCCCAAAATAAGTAGAACTCCTACTCACAAGTAAAAGTGTACAGTACTAAAAACCTAAGAGTATATTTAATATCTGTTAACATAAAAGTGACTTAGCTTTATATGCTGCTTCTCTTGAGAATGTCAATTTTAGTTTTTAAAGTACAACTATGAGCCAATGGAATTTGTTTTCATTTGTGATTCACAAACTGGCTCTCCAGGCAATTTCAAAAAAATTAAAATCTCAATTAAAGCCAATACTTTTGGCATCATTATAAAGCCTTCCACAATGATAACTCTGAAGAACAACTCACAGTGCTTTGAAGCACAAGATCTAGAGCCGGACTACCTGGATCCAAATCCTAAGTGTGCCTCTACCTGAATAACTAGTTGCTTAACCTCTGTTTCATCTTTCTCAACAGAAGAGGGATAACAGTACTCATCTCATAAAGTTTTGTGAAACTTAAATCATTTGTAAACTCCACAGAACAACGCTACTACATGAATGATCAATAATTCTTAGCTAGTGTTATTTTTAATCGGACATAAATTTATGGAATGTTTATATAGGCATTCAGCAGCTATATCTTGCAAATACTGCCAAACCTTATTTTAATAATCATCTCTAAAATTCTATTATAATTACTTTGTGGTACATCAATTTCTTCTAACTGGTTAAAATTAGTTGACTCTGACTTCTCTATAGAAAGCTTTAAACATGCAGAAATTTTTACTATAATAATATATATTACAGAACCTTAGGTGTGTAAGATTTAGATAAATTGAATAGTGAATTTTACTAGAAAGAAGATATTATAGGCTGAACTGTGTCCCCTCAAAATTCTAATGGTTGAGCAGTACCTCAAAATTTGACTGTTTTGAACATCCAGCCTTTAAAGAACTTAAAATGGTGTCATTAAAAGTAGGCCCTAATCCAATATGACTAGTGTCCTTAGAAGTAGAGAGTAGGACACAGAAAACAGAGATGCCCGTGTAGGACACAGAGAAGGCAGCCATCTACAAGCCAAGGAGGGAGGTCTCAGAAGAAAACAAACCTGCCAACACCTTGATCTTGGACTTCTAGCCTCCAGGACTGTGAGAAGATAAATTTCTGTGCAAGCCACCCAATCAGTTGTACTTTGATATGGCAGCCCCAGCAAACTAATTCAGAAAACAATCTAATTTAGTTAAAATCTCCATTAAAAGTAGTCTTCTGAAAAATGTGGCTTCATTCCATCTAAAATTTGCAATGGCAGTAATAAATCAACAAAAGTATCCCTAAAATTTTTTAAGTTTAATATAAAAGTTTCAAAATTTTGTCACAGGAATGACTTCACAGGTTCCAGAAAATAAAATTTAGGGCATAATGTCCACACAATCTGGATACAAGAAACACTCAGCTACAGTTCAGAGAAATGCAAACTTTTCTTTTAAAATAATTAAGAAGTACTTACTTCCTTCCTCTAAATAACGGAGAAGTTGAGGTCTGTATTGGACTGACATTTCCATATGTCAACTGCTGTAATGACACCGCTCTTGACAAACTACCAAAAACACAGAAAGAACAATAGTAATAAACATTTTTCCCTTAAACAAAAAAGCAATTTCATAAAAAACTAAATATTTCACTGATCAGAAAAAACAATACAATGACCTTTTTTATTATTGTTTTAGAGACAGCGCAAGTGAGCACGAGTGGGGTAGGGGACAGAGGGAGAGAGAGAGAGAATCTTAAGCAGACTCCATGCTCAGCATGGAGCCCAACGTAGCAACTCAATCCCATGATAGGATCATGACCTGAGCCAATATCAAGAGCCGGTTACCCAACCAAATGAGCCACCCAAGCACCCCAACAATGACAGTTTTTTAACTTCAAACATTTCATGTAAAAATGAAACATATAAACATATAAAAATGTTCTCAATTAGAACACAAAATTTACAAATGATATGGGCCAAAATAACACCATACTTACTCTGTATTCTGAAAGTTGAACTGTGCATCTATAAGCTGCTGGTGTGAATAAAGAGTTGGTGACAGGGCGAAGAAATTATTATGTTGTTGATGGTTTGGGGTGAAAGGCGGGCGACCCAAAATTGAGTTTGGGAACATGCTCTTGTTCACTAAAAGTGAACATGTATTCTTCTACCTAGGATAGTTTTAAAAGACAAATTATTATATCTTGAAAATACTGAACTCAGTAATAACTAATATCTATTATTTAAAACAATTATTTACCAAGTTATGAATTTTACTTACAAAGTTATTTCAAAAGTTTTAACAGATCTCTTAAGTCCCACTACAGGTAACCAAAAACTTGTTAATAATGAATTTTAAATCTGGATTAAGAATATCATGCAAATGATAAAAAAAAATGCAAGTTTCTAATTTCTGATGTATTTAACCTCATATCAACAGATCTTTCAGAAATCAAGTTATCACCACATACTCTGATAATAAAAAAGACACCACTCAGGACAGACATTTAATGAAGCCATACAGATTCTTACATTTATACCCAGTTGAATTTATTCAAAGGTATAAACCATAATATGACAACCTGATTCTTAGGATATAGATCTTACACATCTTCTTACAGATCAACTCAAACAAAGGAAGGAATCCGTACTAATACCTATAAAATTCTGAGATTTCCTTCAAAGTCTAAATAATTTATATAAAGGACGTCACATAAAAGAGAGCCTGTTCCACAGCAATGGGGAAAACATACATAACAGTCCCCCCTTACCCACAATTTCACTTTCTGTGGTTTCAGTTATCTGTGGTCAACCATGGCCCAGAAGCAGATGATCCTCCTTCTGACATATCGTCAGGTCAATAGTAGCCAGCCTAACACTATGTCATAATACACACACCATTCACCTCACTTCATATTATCATATGGGTATGTTATCATCTACATCATCACAGAATACAATATAATTAAGATATTCCAAGAGACAACATTTACAAAACTTTTACTGCAGTATAGTAATATAATTGTTCTATTTTATTATTAATTGTACTTTATAAACTTTATCGAAGGTACGTATATACAGGGAAAAAACGTAGTATATATAGGGTTCGGTACTACCCACAGTTTTAGACATTCCCTGGGGGTCTTAGTATGTCTCCTGTGTGAATAAGCAGGGGAACTATTGTACAAAGCAATCAGAACCATTCACTGACCCAGGCAGGAGAGATTTATACTTTGCAATGACTGATCCCAAAGGCTACAAACTTACAAAGAGTAGGGCAAAGTAACAAACAAATCAAGTATTAAGTAAAATCAACAAAGTGAAAATAGGATCCCCAGCCCACCCTCCCAATGCAGGCAATCAGAAAACCCATTTATGGTACTGGGAAAGAAACCAAATGACATGGTAACCAGAGAACCTATAATATAGTAACAGTTTTCCATGAAGAAAAAGTTAAGCCTGCTAGCAAACTACAGTAAAGTCTACTACTAAACTGCCCACCCATGCACATAGAGCTTCCAATTTGATTTCTAGGAACTCTCACTTAAAATAAACATTCAAGGATCACCATAAGAGAAAAAAGATCCAGGAATAAACAAAAACAATTCCAAGAGCAAGATAAATATATTAATTAATTAATTAATTAAAGCAAAAAAAACCCCAGAAAACAATATACTGTTTAAAAAGCAGAAAAGGCTCTTCGAAATTATAAAATTAAAAGCAGAAACACTGAGTAGAAAGTTAAAAAAATACTGAGGAAATCTCTTAGAATAAAAAGGAAAAACTAGTAAAGGCAGAAAGGAGGCAGGACAATAAGAGAAAAAAATATAAGAGAATCAAACTGTATGGTCCATCATCCAACATAACAGAAGTTCCTGTAGAAGAGAGAAAACACACAGAAGGAAATTATCAAATAAACAAAACAATAAAATGTCCAGGACTGAAAAAAACCAATCCTGAGATTTAAAGGACCTAATGAGCACAAAGCACACCTTAAAAAATGTATGTACCAAGGTATATTATGGTAAGATTTCAGAACATAAGGAAAAAGAAACTTATATTACAGAAGAGGAAAATGTTATAAATAAAGAGCTGACAATCAAAATGACTTTAAAATCCTCAATAGCAACAGAGGAAACTACAAGACAATGAAGTTAGCGCCTTCAAGTCTCTGCAGGAAATGCTCTCAAGCTACAATTCTATACCGAGCCATACTATCACTGCAAGGGAGAATAAAAACATGTTCAGACATGTCAAGTATCAAAAAAACAAAACAAAACAAAAAACCTGGGATCTATGAAAAGGGAGACCTGCTGTAGGGCAGAGACAAAGTAATTCCCCAGAACAGTGGTGAAGGAAAGCTACCAGGTTAAATTAGAGCAAGAGGATGAAGGGTTTCAAGAAGAGACCCAAGGAGAAAAAAACTTAGAACTTTACTGGCAGTTTACCTGATGTATTTGACCACAGAGAGGAGCAAAAATAATCACACAAACAAAAAAGTAGCAAGTTAAAAAGAAATTACCTAAACACACACACACTCAAAAAGTCATATAAAAAAGGATATATAATCATTATCTATTTGGTTCTCACAATAACACAAACATTAAAAATATCAATCTAAACAAAATTGTAACATATTACATATCTATTTCATATATTTATTTAAAGATTACGTATATTATTAAAATATACTATATATATTTACATGTTCATATACAGTACAATTTAATGATAAGGGAGGCTACATTAAGGTGCTGAATTCTAATTTTCATTAGATGTCAATTTTAAAAACAAGCCATAGAAGTTTTTGAGGAATAACAGAGGAAAATAACACTTAAGCATCTAAAAGAAATAATAGCTGCCTCTGGGTATTGAGACCAGATGGTTGGAAAAACTGGTGGAGAAAACAGGATAGAAAAAGAGAAAGATCTGTGAAGAAACTAATAAATCACTCATACACACTTTGTTCCTTGCTTTTTTTCAATTTTGCAAGACTAAAGTTCCAAGGATGTACACAGATAATGAACGAGATTCACTAGGCCAAGATTTATAATGGATTGTGAATAAGAGTCGTGGGATCCCATCAGATCTCATCCCAAGCGCCCGACTCTCTAATCTGAACCAGAGACAAGGTGTTACCTCCAGAAAACAAGAGTTCATCAACTCCCTTCAGCAGGTCTGTATCTCATTACAGGATACTTTTTTTTTTTTTTAATCATTCCTATCATAACTGTTAAACTGTACTCCCTGATTTTCACTGCTCAAAGGAAATGGAAAATATCTTGAACCAAGCAGGATTCTGGACAATCCTTTATTAAAAGTACATGTAATAATCACAGAATGCCAGATTCAAGACTAGCAACTAAAGCCATGTTCTAGCCTTTGTCTGGGTTCATGCTCTTTTCTTTCTTGACTTTCTTTATTCTGTTTCCCTAACCCAAACTCCCACAAAACATAACTCCTATTTCATAAGATTCATGAGAAAATAACATTAAATGTAATTCATTAAATGAATTTTGCTTGATATTTCATTTTCTTGGAATACAGATACTACTGATCAAACAAGGGAAGGAATCTGTATTCAGAAAGCTAAAATTAAAATGTTCTATTTTCAGATTTATTTAAATCAATTAATAGTTAAAATTCTAGACACTTTGTTTACATCAATATGCTTATGTTTTTCCTCTGGACCCAATGTTTACATCAATATGCTTATGTTTTTCCTCTGGACCCAAATAAAGCCCCATATACATGCATTAAGACTTGAAAACCCAAAATGACAAAACAGTCTAGACCTCACCTTATTTCTATGCCATGACATGATAAGATCCAAAACAAGAACAAGTCAAAAGATGTCTTGTGGCCCACAAACACTCTACAAAGCTAATGACCAAATTATCCAAGGTTTAAAAGCTTACAGTGATTCCAGAACCAAAAGTTTACCTAAGGCAGGTATCTAGTTCAGCCTATCCCAAATTCCCAGATAAGCAACTGAAGCTTTTGGAGTTCCTCCAAAACAAAGTATCTGTCAGGTTCTCCTCAGTATGAATCTTGGCCCTGAAGTATGGCTTCAACAAGGCCAGCCCTCACAGTCAGATCATTCCTAGGGAATGTAACCAATGGCATTCACTGCTCCCCAACATGGGCATCCTGCATGACCATCTAGAAATCAAGAAGTAAACCAAAAGGCATGAATTTCAATTCCTCTTTCTAATATTTTTCTAATACATTTCAACACTGATTTTGATGAAGATAAATAATGTAAATAATCCAAAAATAATCATCCATCAAAAACAATATGAGGAATCATTTTTTAAACAGAATACAGAGCTTTAGAGTATAAAATCCGACACACCTATTACCATAGAATTAAAGAGACCACCACAAAATTTTGTATCTTTTTCTTTATATTCTGAATGAAAGGCTCCTTCAGTAAGTCTATTTGATGATCTACATAAAACACGATTCCACATCAACTGTGATAGCAGGGATAAGAAATTCTACAATAAAGAAAATCCAGATTATTGCTGGTATCTTATTTTCCTTAACTTTAAAGTTATTGGCTTCTCAATGCTCGTG